GACCTGTGGCTCCTTTCCCGCTTGTCATTCCCCTCTCTCTCTCTCCCTACGGTTTCTGACTCCATCCACTGTCCTGTCTTTAAAATAAAGGCATAACAAGCCCAGATATAAACCTTAAAAAAAAGCACAATCCTCAAGAAAACTTTTAAGAGTTCAACAAAAGTTTACTCAGATAAAAGTTTTAAGAGCAAGCAGAGATAGAGATAATCAGGAGGCAAAAACAGGTCGAAAATTCATTCAAAGGTAATTCACAAGAAAGTCACTAAGAAAAATACAGTACTAAATACTGTAGGTACTGACAAACAGTATGGAACACAAAAACTAAATACCCATGAGGTAATCAAGACTAGTGAAGACAGCTGGGTTGATTAGTGATGAGACTCAGCTGGGACCAAGACGCTGACACAGTAGCGATGAGGAGGAATGTGAAACATGTGAAGGACACAAGAGGGCAGCAGAGGGAACCTGAAAGGAGAGGGAAGTCATTAACTCAAAGAAAACCCCATGAAGGAAGTCAAATATTAAAAGAAAGAGAAACATAACCTAGTCTGAACATTAGGATATGACAGTTAAAAAATGAAGGCCTGTGATTGCCTGCGTTAGGGAGCAACTTTAGAATTGGTTAATAATTTAAACTGAAGAGTATTGGATTTATTAGCAGTTAGTATTTATAAAGGCTCATACGTGTAGTGATATGGATAAGGAACCTGGAAATAAGGAATCTGGAAAAAAAACTCCAAAGAAATAAATTTAAAATATATTATGTGTCATTTTTACCCATGTATTCTGTTTTTACATCTTTGTAGGTGAATCTGGTGTCAGAGCACATCTGGTGTAAGGACTTCCTGGTGCGTAGCTTCTACCTGAAGAACATCCAGACGCAGGAGACCAGAACTCTGACGCAGTTTCACCTGCTGAGCTGGCCGGCTGACGGTATCCCCACCTCCACACGACCGCTGCTCGACTTCCGCAGGTATGAAATGACGCAATTATACCGACTAATCCTGTGAGATTCAGTCATTTTATAGCCAACACCAGACGTAACACACAGGTGGTGAGGACGATGTGTGTGTGTGTAATGTTGGGGCTGACTCACTGGTCAATCCTGTTTTATTTTCTGTGTTCTGTCTTCCCTCACATTCTGCACTGTGTGTTATCCATTAAAACCTCCTTGTGGGACATTTCATACTCCTTCCATCATCTGAGCTCTCTCTCTCTCTCTCCCTCTCTCCCAGTGTGCAGGTTGACAGGTTTGTATTTGAACATCTCCCAGTGTCATTTTTGTGGTTTGCAGCTAGTACTCTGGCTCCAGTTGCATAGTCACAAAAATGAGCATTGGCAGGTGTGACTGGCTACTGCAAGAGGGACAGTGAATCTGGGGCTTCCTTATTCAGCTTTCCTTTCCTGTTTTACATCTCGTCTCAACGTCCTTCACAAACCCCTTGCATTTCATTTCATTTTTCCCATTCCTTTCATTCTCTACTTCATTCCTAATCTTACTGTGTTCATCAGTTATTTAAATGTCTTTGATCATTTTGTACTCCTCCCTGGTCCAATCTGCTTCCTTCTGATTTCTCAATGCTGCATAAGAGACATTAGTATGCGTTTGTATGCATTAATCAATGTTTGGATTGCTGAAAAGAATAATGTTTATACGATGTAATGTGTGAACAATCTCAGCTGGGACTCCCAACGTTTGTAATAAATATTATATAATAGAGAATCTTCTCTGCTCTTTGTTCTCCTCCCTGTCTCTGCTGTCCCTTGTTCCTGTTTTTCAGGAAGGTGAATAAATGCTACAGAGGTCGCTCCTGTCCGATCATCGTTCACTGCAGGTATTAAAAACAAACAAACAATGAACACCAGACTTTTTACAAGAAGAATGCAGATATAGAAGCAGATTGACAAATAAACTACTCAGCAGAAATACAAAGGCATTGACAGTTTCTCTTTTTCTCTCTGTCACTCCACAGTGATGGCACTAGCAGGACTGGCACATACATCCTTATAGACATGGTGCTGAACCGCATGGCCAAGGGTGAGTCATTTAGGACACACATAAACAGGGCGTCATGGCCCTATGTGCTTTCATGTGCTACTATATGTGGACAGCAGAGGGGGGTATAATCACAACTAGATTTTACTTTGATGATATTTGATTAATTAGTTCACACAAAGGTATGAATAACTGGATGTATCTTTTCCAGGGGTTTATTTCACATAGAAGCTCAATGGGATAGCTAACTTGAACAGCTTAAAATGTTCATGAAATTGGGTATAACTCATGTTGTGAGATTTTTTAGATGCTAACATTTATTACCAAAGAATTTCTTGAATCTAAACATTGACTTTAAACTGATTGTCTTCAAGCTTGTATCACGTCTGTGGTTTTAGTTGTCAGAAATGAGAAGTCTCAGGATAAGCTTGTGTTGCTATTTAGTTAAACATCACACAGGGTTACTGTCTCTTTAAATCGCACCCAGCTATACTGTATTAACAAACTATACTGTGTTCGTGCCTTTTGACTGAATCATTCTCTGCCAGACTGATGTTGAGAAAGATTTTCTTTTCGGTACAATATCTGAATAAACACTATTAGCTCAGCTTTTTATGTAAATGCTAATATTTAACTTATCAAATTAACATTGTCTTCTTCATTACCAGATGTGAATGTTGTTGTTTTTTATGGAAGGTATTAATCAGCTTAAGCACAACAGTGTCAGTGAAACCTCCCAAACTGCTGTAGTGACCCTCCTACTGTTCCTGTTGTTGTGTTTAGGCGTGAAGGAGATTGACATCGCTGCCTCTCTGGAGCACATCAGAGACCAGAGACCTGGCTTGGTCCGCACCAAGGTACCATATATCTTTGTGTGTGTGTGTGTGTGTCTGTGTGTGTGTATATATATGTAATTTGCACTTCAAAGATCTACTTCCATCAAAATCTAACTATTCAATCCTTCACACATTTCTCTTGTACTTCTCTCCGTATCCCTCTCCCTCATCAGGACCAGTTTGAGTTTGCGCTGACAGCAGTAGCAGAGGAGGTGAACGCCATCTTGAAAGCCCTTCCACAGTGAGGACACGCACAGAGACAAACACTCCCGAGGTCACACTCGTACCATACAGCCATGTACGTCTGGCCATCACTGTAAATAAGAAATGTGCTCTATCACACCTGGAGCAGTTACTGCCCTTGTTATCAGCATGCAGTATTGTACCAGCTTCTCATTCTCTGAGGGTTTGATAAACCTTTATGGACCTTTATATTAACACAAAAGCCACATTTCATTTTTCGGCCATTGTTGTAAAAATTTGATCCACGTCCTATTTCACAACAATGATGCGGTTACATTTGAACGACGAGAGTTAACATTTGCATTTACTGTGCCTAAGTGAATACAGATTACATTTCCACATTTATTTCCACCCGATTCTGACAGGATGGAATTCACTTCAGTCTTTGTCTTCTTACATCAACCCTCGTTACTGGACATGACTACCTTAAATGACCAATCAGCATACAAGATCATTTTACCCCACCTCCAAAAGTGTGTTGGCTATTTTCTTCTGTTTGTGCTGTTTTCTTGGACTGATGTTTAAATAATTCTAAATCCCTTCGAATACGGTTCAAATCAACTCTCCGGTGTGTGATGTTTCATGTCTACCAGAGTTCTGTACGCTGCCGTATGATGTTTGTTGATTTTCTGGAGACTTTTAATTCGTCCATGCCTCGACAACATGATTGTTTGCTCCAAGCACTGGTTCTTAAGGATGCTTTACATCGACCACACACCTCTCTCTCTCTCTCTCTCGCTCTCTCCGTCTCTGCACAAAGGGTGATTTTGTTCAGGTTCCTTTATTGTCTTACTCAGTGTACGACCTTGTGATTTATGTAAATAATCAACCTGAAGATTGTGATTATTTCATGTAGCAGACAGAAAGAAAATATCTATAAAAATGTATTTTTGACTTGACCAGAATAAATTTGTGATGTGATGCAGCAAAGAAAAAGAAAAGGCCTCACGTTTTTGTTTTCAAAACCAATCTTTTCAATTCCATCATTCAGCATGTATGCATTTTGTTTTTATTGAAAAATGTTAAAATTCAAAACAGGTTATTCTGACTCTGATTCATGTACTTTTTTAGTCAGCCTTTTCAGACAGCTCCACCTGCAGCACACTAAATAAATAAATAAATAAGTGTATTACATTAATATTGCTCCCTTTCACATGAAATCAGTGTCAGTTGATTACTATTAACCCAGACATGTCCTATCATAAAAAATAACTACCACCAACTGACCCAATAAGTCAGCAGGAAAGTTTTTATTTTCTGCATGTATGTATGTTTCAAAGCATTTTTCAATAAGTCTTACTCATCTGTTTTCATGTGCAGGCAAAATGTGAACTCCAGTCCTTTTGCTCCAAAAAGCTGTGCATCAAACACAAATACATACAAAATACACATTTTTTAAAGTGTCATCAGTCAGTAGAGGCCATGGCCAGCAGAAAGAGACAAGTGCATCATGGGGAATTGACCTTTGCCCTGTAAGAATAGATGTACAGGTACATGTTAGTACTATAGGCATCACAGGTTTTCAATGTTACTTCCTCAACCAGTGTGATCTAAAGGGGCAGGAGAAGGTTTCACTATAAAACAATCAGGGTGCTTCAGGTTCACACTCTTTCTTTACCTCAGGCCAGGGCACAGAGCAGCATGAGCCAATCAGGTTAGCTTGTGAAGGCCTCGAAGTCTGAGTCTGAAACAGGAAGCAGGAAATGTCAGAAATTATAAATCTCAAAAAATTCTGATTTATTACTTTGATTTAAAAAACGATCAATGTAAAGCAATGAGGGGCTCTTAACATCAAAGTGCAACACACACATTCTGAGATGATAGCAGCATTAGCTGATTTACATCATGCTAACCAGAAGAAATGTGCATACAGTATAGGTGCATATGTATAGCTACATTACTCTGAAAAAAAGCCAATATCCCAATGTCACTGCTATTCGTGTCAATCTTTATTATTTGTTTTTCCCTTTGAACAATCCAAAACAAAAGCACATGGCAGTACAATATAATACAAATAATACAAGCTGATATTTATATGCATAGGAGAAACCATCTGTTTCCCCAAAATAGCCACCAGTTACTCTGAGGACTAGACAGGAGGACCAGTTTGATTTACACACCAGTTTGAATGCATGGATCATGTATCATGTATGACTGGGGTGTGTACAAGAAAATATTTTCTCTGATTCAAGGTCATTTGGTGGTCTTAAGTGATGTGGATTCAAATGTTCATATCAAGAGAACACTGACACCATTAACTGAGTAAATGAAGACATGTAGATTGTCATACTTTCAAAGTCGTGGAAGTTGTGAAACAAACTGCAGCGACAGTCTCCCATTCTAAGAATACATGACGGTACTCCCAATCATTCTTGTGGAGCTCTATCGTTTACTTATTATGGTGGAAAGTTGGGCTGCAATGTGGTGCGAGCGGAAAAAGTCTCTAAAAGCACAAAAACTCTGTTGAAGTCCTTCACTCAAATGCATTTGCTTTGATTGAGAATCACTTGATTCCCTAACTTGGCACATTGTGTATATAAGTTGTATAAGCAAGTGAAAAACAAAATGTAAAAAATGTAATCATGATTATTTGTAACTAAGTTATTGTTTCATAATGCTGAACACCAGAGAGGCCCATTCTCTGACCAAACATTATTAGTATCTCAATTAAAATGCATTAAGGTCAATGGATTTATGTGCAAATAGTACAAAAGTACAGAGGTTAAAAGAAGGTCACAGGTTTAAACAACTCCCACTGGAAAAGGCAGGCTGCATGTATTTACAAGGCATGTGTGAATGTGTTTGTGCTTCACATATTCCTGAAAGTAGAATCATTTAAGCAGGAAACACAGATCGTTATTGAGCATTACATTTTCATTTAGAGTTGAATAGTACGACGAGTGTGACTCACATCTCATAGATTCCCTATAGGGTGGATTAAGAAAATTCCATGTCATGGTCTTAACTGACCTTGGCATACACCACACCCATGTACACAGTAGAATAATGCTAACACACAAACATCACTCTGTCCTTACAGGAATTTCAATCGCTTTTCTTTGCCACGTCGAAAATCCCTCTTAATCCCACTCTTTTCAACCTCTGGGGATGTTGGGGCAAATTTATACACTCAGCAACATTCCTGTGTTTTGCTTTGTATCCAAACACTGATCACAGCTTTTAGATGTGTTAATAAAACAAAGAATAAACTATAGACCTGTGCTATAATCATCAGATCCCGTTTGTTATTATTTGGCACACAAAAAAAAACTACTGATTGGCAAACTACATTGATACATTGATGTTGGCAATCATAAGAGCCACAGCAAAAACACTCCAAACTCTGTCAATTATGATAGTCATCTCTTTCAGAGAAGCCTTGAGCGAGTTGAGGCACCGCCTTCAAATAAGTGACTGTAAATCACATTACATTAGAGTTAGGCTGTAGGCACAACAATGAGGTATAAGTATTAGAAATAAGGCACACGCACCGAGTTAGCTCACAACGCAGCCACACTTGTTTTTCTTTTTCACACCCTTGTCACTGTTTTTTATGGCACACTCACGCTCAGACTCCTGCTCACTGATTTTTGTGGCAAGCTCACTTTCCTGCTCACTGCTTTTTGTGGCACACTCAGACTCTGTTCACTGCTTTTTGTGGCACACTCAGACTCTTGTTCACTGCTTTTTGTGGCACTCTCAGACTCCTGCTTACTGCTTTGACTCTCTGCTGTACTGCTGGTCGTTGTGGGAGACTCAGGAGAAGAGTCTGATTCCCTGCTTCCTTCCCCCCCTGTTTTCCACCCACCTCCGGACTCTGGGCCCATTTTAAACTGCCCATTCTCACCGACCTCCCCTGAAAGCGTGTGTTCACTACCATCAACATTAACAGTTGTAGTCTTAACAAACACACGTCTCTGATGGCCACCACCTTTGTCGGCCATAACTTTGCCTGCGCGCACAGCACCTGTTATGATGTCCGTTACAGCTGCTCTCTGCTCGGCTTCCATTTCTGACAGGCTGCATGCCAGAGCCATCTGCAGGTCTTCGTCATCGTCGCTGGCTGCCTCAACCCCGTAGTGGTAGAAGGGGGCGGAGCTAAAAGAGCGATGTGTTGACTCAGTGTGTGAGTCGGCAGATGATCTGTTTGGGATCTTCGGCTTCTGAGGGGAGTGACCGGGCTGTCCCTCTCGTCGGCTCAGCTCCAGTGCCAGGGCCATGTCATCCTCCACACCTGGGAACAGCACAAATACAACAACATTCATGTGTACCTCCAATTCTTCAGGATTAAAGTGAGACAACAATATTAATGTTAACATATTCAAATCAACATTTTAGCAGCTCTGAGCAGTTTGCACTTTTTTTGCGTCTGATTTTAGAGATGTGATTTCAGCATCTCTGTTCTCTGCTGTGGGGCCGAAGCATTTTGAATGGCCTTTGCTATATAGATTAATTTGCCTTGTGTTGCTCTCTCATCCTGAGTAGGGGCTGATACAGGGAGGTGGCCTAAAATCCTTAACAAGGATTTCCTTGTCAGAGACGGGACTTTAATCAACTATTAAGGCTTTGTTGGAGGCTTCTGGGATTTCAATGTTACACACTTCCTTTTGTTAGTCCTTCAAATTGTGACTCTGGACATACATCTTCCTTATCAGTATAAAAATATGCACTTGAAAATAAGATCTTTTAGATAGCCTTTGTGTTAGCAGTTAAATTAAATGTGATAACTGAAGATAAAAAGAATAAACAAAAATGCCAGTCTTTCATGAATGTGCAGACTTCAGGCCACACCCTGCATAAGTCAGCAGCTAGCTGGGCCATCCTAGTTAAAATAGTCCGGCTCTGCCCCTGATCCTGAAGGAGCTAAATTATTTCCACATAATTAGAAGCGGAATCCTTTCATGTGCAGGCCATGGGCGTCACTTTTAGTTAGCAGAGATAACTCAACAAAGTATGGAACTCTAACTTCTTAGTGGATTTTTTACAGCCAGGAAATAAATATCTTCCTGGAAAATCTATTGAAGTATCATGAAACAGTCTGAGAAGATTATAATCAAACCGTTGAAAATTAGACTAATGAAAGATGGGACTTCAAAGCAAACTGAGTTCACTGACTAAATCTACACTGAACAGAACTAAATAAAAGACTAAAATGTGATTAGAAACAATTTCAATTTTCTGAAATTACTGATATGAACTAACAGTCAAAAGTGGGTAACAAGACATTCTGTAGGCCTGTTAACACATCAGTCAATATCTGAAACATCTGCTAATAAAACAGCATAAAAAATCTCATTCATATTTTGAAAGCTCTTTTGAAAAGCTAATTTAAGTTCTGCATTTGTTAGATCTATTACTAAGACTGTGCCTGTGACACTTGTTTAGATGAGTTTCTGAGACTTCCTAAAACTTTTTTGTTTTGTTTACAGCCGACAAAATCAGTTTTCATAAAGTGAAAGAATAGAAAATATTATATAAAACTTAATTTGTCCTCACATCTTCAAATCACACTATTTAGAAAGATGTAATATTACCATTAATTAGAACTTTCTTCAACACCCCATCCTCTTCAATCTCTACTCTTTCCTGCCCGTTCACTTTTGTCCTGTAGGCAAGACAATCAAGGGGAGAAAGACACACAAATAAAAGTTTGTGTTGAAATCACTTTGTCTTTTGGCCTGTTCACTTGTTCTTATCCAACATAAATGCACTAGTTTTTTGTTTTTTTTAATCTACCTCATAAAAGAACTACTCAGTGGAGTTGACAGATTTAAAGTTTTGGACCCAAAAAGTCGTCAAATTCTAAATTCTAAAATTTAACTTTTATCGAGGAGAATACCTACTTCTTTGTGGTGGTGCGTTTTCCGTTTATGACGCGAGTGGAGGTAGATACTGATTTGATATTTCCAATCCCTCCACCGATGCTGTCCATCCCGTCAAGACCTCCCATGGAAGAGGAGAAGGAGGTGAAATCAGCTGAGGAAGGGGATGAAGACCAGGGAGAGAAAGCAGAAGAGAAGAGAATGGTTCCTTTAAATGAATCCATACAAAACACCAGTCTTTGAATAGATAATACCACTACAAATAAGACAACAACATCCACAACCCATGGAGTGTACAGTATCCCGTTCAATATGATGGAATTATCCATGTAGCTCCAAAATAAGAATTAAAGTTATGATGTTACAAGAGATGACAGTTATTTCATGTTACTGGGAACGATTAGGGCTTTCAACCCTGTGCCCACTTTATGATATCGCATGATGAACTCATTCCATTAAGGACACTGTATTTTCTTCGCAGCTTCCCTCTTACAGTATGTATTTGTTTACCTCCTGCTGAAGGAAAGGAGAAGAACCGACTGGGGCCGGGGCGAGAGGATGGGCTTTCAAAGGAGGAGAAGTCATCTGGAAGAGAAAAGCATGGATGTATCTAGTCATCAAAGGAGGGAGAAATAATATCAAAACACAAATGTATCCGTGCATGTATATTGTGTATGACTTACCAAAGAAATAAGCAAAGGGGTCCTGGCCCGAAAAAAAGTCCTTGAACACATCGTTTGGGCTGCGGAATGTGAAGGAGAATCCTGACGGAAAGTCTGAGCTGGAGGAACCTGAAAAATGAAGTTGTTGGTGTTACAGTAGGTTTGTGTAGAGAAACCAAGATAGTGGAAGGGTCGGATAAAGGGAAGAATAATAGAAAAGCATATTCAGGTCCAGAATGGGCAAAGTGAGTGATACAGAAGAGGAGGGAGGAGAAAAGTTAGAGATGAGAATGAGAGAAAAGGGAAGAGCAAACAGTGAGGTGGGTAGCAGGTTTTGATTTACCTCTGTCTCTCATTGTGTCGTTCCCAAATCTGTCATATTCTTCACGCTTACTTTCTGTTATAGAAGAACAAAGCACAAATGTACAAAGTAAATAAAAACGCATACAAACATGTATTTTTTTTTAAAACGTACAAATACGTATAAAATGAAGTTACAGCCGCTTGACAAGCTCAAGCAGCGAACTCCCGGAAAAATAACACACATTTAAACAAATATGATGATAAAGACAAACTGTCCTCGTGACTTACTGTCAGATAAGACTTCATAGGCCTCAGCCAGCTCTTTGAACTTTTTCTCTGCGTCCTCTTTGTTCTCCGGATTTTTGTCCGGATGCCATTTCAGTGCTAGTTTCCTGTACCTGGAAACAAAACACAAACTTCAACTCAAATGCACAAGGAAATATACATCAAGAGATAAAGACGTAAAAAGATCACTTCCACAAGAACTGTTCTAGACAGTGTAGAGAGCCATAATAAATAAGACAACTTTAACTATTTAAAGTGTCTTTTTGTCACATTAATGCTTCTCAATAATCTTTCAGTTGCTTTAGTTACAGTAGATTCAGATGGAGTAGATACAGTAACACAGTAACACATAATAAGATCATGAACATAAGGTATGTAAGACCAAGAATCTTAACATACTCAAAGTAAATGTATCAATGTTTTCATAAGCTGGCATTGTTAAAGGAGCAATATGTAACTCTGACACCTAAAATGGGTACTGCAGTCCAAATTCAAAACATTGAAGAGAGCTGTGTCCCCACAGCCCCCTCCTCCCTTGAGTCAATGTCGCAACACAGAATTCTAACCTCTCCATGTTTCAAAAGCATCTCCATTATTTATCCTATTTTGACCATGTTTCTGATCGTGGAGCTTATTAGAAAAATGCTGAGGCTTTTAAGGTCAGTTAAATCTGAACCAGTTTGCTTGCCCTCTTCCATCGCTGCAACACCTGTTTGTTTTGGTGTCCAAAATGGCCGTGTTGAGGTGTCTTAAAACCGCCTTCTCTGGTCTAAAACAGAAACAGACCATTCCGGACACGAATCCAGACTTAAGCAGGAGGACATACTGGCTGCTGCATTGTTGTCAGAGAAGCCAGCACTTCAACATAGCATGTTTCATTAATGTCTGATCATACAGTGAGGTCATTTTATCATTTAATTCAGAAGATATCTTACAGATTAGTCCTTTAAGTAAGAATTAACCAGTGTAAAGAAATTACTCACGCCTTCTTGATTTCATCCTGAGAGGCAGTTTTGGAAACTCCCAAGACATTATAGTAATCAACCATGTTTTCCTCCGGCACTCTTCACTCTGTCTCTGAAAAGGAAAAAGTTTATTTTGAATAGTGAACATTAAACTCTGATAGAACAAACACATTCTGCAATCCACAAATCTTTGTCTGCTAAAGAGAAGTTTGGAACCCTAACCCATCATGCTTACCGCATTAATGGAACCCTATATATCTATCTTATCTTCTTACAGCCTCTGTCCTCTAGGTCTCATCCTAAGTTGCCTGAGTTCCTGTGTTGCCTGACTTACTATGTTGTTGAATTCTGGTGATGTTTGGGTTCTGATGCTGGTCTGGTTTCTGTTTGGGTTCTTAAACTGTTGGGTATTGTTGTTGTTGGTTGGGTGTCCCATCTGTGGGGTATGTTGTTGTTGTTGTGGTGCTTTGTTGTTATGTCATATTCTGTAAAGCATTTTTTTTAAACAAATGTTTACAAAGTGCTATTCAAATAAAGTTATTGTTATTATTATTCTTGTTAAAGCTTCACATTTGAAAAAGGTCTGTGGTTAGTGCCCCCCCCACACACACACTTGTGTATCGCATTTGTGGCTATATCAACAACTAAGACTGTTTGGAAATAATGAGTTAACAAATATAAAATGTATCTCATCTAAGCCTTGTTAGATTGTTTAAGAATAGATTTATTATGTTTATATGTTCGGTCAATATGGGATAGGCTTTGAAGAAAAACTGCTCTGGAAAATAAGGTTTGAATATGAGCACAGGAACTTTTTCATAGTCTAGGAACAGTTAAAAACCCTCCCCCTTTTTTTTTATTGATTCCACACCTCAGGAACTATGAACTATTTAGAGGAACCCATTTAGCTCCTGCTTCAGAGTAGTTACCATGGCTGTGTGAATGTAGACAAAAAAAAAATGGCCCCATGGTTTGTAGTTCTCAGGGAACTCCCTAGTGGATGGTCCCTCATACAAAAAGTTCCCAGAACTGTTTGGTCAGAAAACACAGGTTTGGTGACTCATCTTTTTTATATGAAGGTGTGCCCTTGCTATGACAACATCCCAGGATAGTCACTGTCAGAATTCAGCATGCTAACCATCATGCTAACCCCAATAATGGACTATCACAGTTCCAGGGCTGAAGGGGATTTCCCAGCTGGAGCAAAATAACTAAACTTAACTTCCACCTATGGCCTCTTGGGAGCAGCCATGCGCTCATACAAGTATTATAGCCATGTTATTTCTAGAGTCATGGCATCTGACAACTGCTGTGGACATGACAGAAGGCCTACGCACACTTACATCCCAGAGCAGATGCACTTTGCAGACAGTTGTACAGCTATCCAAGAAGCTTAAATGTATATTACCTTTAATAAACATTATTTTGTAAATCGGTGAAAGCGTTTTTTTTTTTTTTTTACTATGTCAGCGTTGTACATCTACAGCTAACTGGTGTAGCTAGAAAGTGGGTTACCACAACTTCATACAGCTCGACAACGATGTGAAGCCTACTCACTGTCGGCGTCTTCAAGCAATGTAGCGAGTGTGTCCACCGGTTAGAGCAACAATGAATTCCTTGAATGCGCCCCTCTTCTCTCTCTCTCTCTCCTCTCTCTCTCTCTCTCTCTCTCTCTTGTAACAGCCGCACACAGACAACCTCCTCCTTCAGCCTTCAGTCGACACCGCCCAGTTACAATAAGTCGGCAGTGTACCGTTATGTGTCAACTCTCCGGTCCCCGCCGGGAAAACAAGCGCACAGTTATGCCTGCTTGGCTCGTTGTGTGTGCTGGGTTTATGTGAACGCGTTACGTCACAGAGCGTCTGGAACATGCCAGAGACCAGCCCTGCCTCGACGCCAGCCTGTTGCTCTGTGACACTGTGGCTCAAGTATTTACAAAAAATATTGTGATAAACTAATGTTGAAACATCCTCACTTACTATACTATTAATGCAGTAGTAGTTTTGTATTGGCATTTACTCACATATTGATAACATTTATTGCACTATAATTGCATCTAATTCAACAATTAATAGTTTACAGTCTAGCTATTTCTTGTAATGGAGTGTTGTTAAGCCCTGAGGCTGATAAATTTACTGTAAAGGCAGGGGCATGTCCAGAGGGGTGGCCAGGGGAGTCATTCCCCCCCCCCTTGAAATCTGATTGGCCACCTCTTGCAAACTGTCTAACTTGCAAACCACTTTCTAGAAATGTTTGGGTACTGAAAAATTGACAATACATGTATTTTTTTCAAGTTAGAGTGTGTAAGAGTTTGCATGCAATATTCTAAGTACTTTAAATAGTGACTTTGTGCATCTTGTTTTTGAGTCCGCAAAGAATTAGGCTTAGAAGATGTAAATGTCAAACAATTACTTTACTTAGCCTACATGTAGATTATTTATGGGGATAGAAAGGGTAAATAAATGAATTAATTTGCCCAAACTTCATGGACCACATCATAAGTCAAGGTGGGCCACTCCAGACATAAAAGTCTGGACACGCCCCTGTGTAATGGACATGAATAGTGTACTTTCCGATAGCCTATTATTATTCCAAGTACTTCTATGGGGGGTAATAGTAGTTGGCCAGGGCAGTTATGACTAAATCTTGTCTTTGGATTTGACCAACTTACACAAATATCTACTGTTTGTATTATCCGGTCACAATGCTCTCATCTAGTGGCTGAATGAAGCAACTGTAGGTAAAAGACCAGCCAGGTCCCTTGTATATTTATGACTGATCATCAACAAGAATACAATTGCAGGAAATTTGCAAAGGGAGGGATGCTTGAGTTTCCTTGCTAAAGGGTGCGAGGTTACAAGTTACAACTTGTACAGCAAAGATTTAGGGATATATATATTTTCTTTTATGGAAATACTTTGCACACAAATAATGAATGCATTTTTTTTAAATTTAAACTATATACCTTGTAATTCTCACAACGCAGCTAGTTATATATACACATATCACTGTTATAAGTTAAATGAAAAGCTCTTAGATATTTAAGATGAATCAGCATAAAGGCTTCTTGGGGTTTTTGGCCAGGAGGGTGTTGTTGAAGCAGTTCTGAATATTTTCCTAAATAGATGTCAAATTATGTTAAATCAGTTCAAAAATGATCACAAGTTCATTTAGCAGGTTCATGAGAACTTTTTATTGATAATACTGTTTTTTCACCACCACATGTTATCAGAGTGTTGCTGGGAATGTAAAACTTTCATGATAACTTGGAATGCGTGATGACAAAGCCCATATTTATGGCTCTTTAATACTCCTCTCCCTCTTCTTCCTCGTCTCCCATGCTGTCTGTACCCACTTCTTCATAATCCTTCTCCAGGGCAGCCATATCTTCTCTGGCCTCTGAGAACTCTCCCTCCTCCATTCCCTCTCCAACATACCAGTGGACAAAGGCTCTCTTGGCATACATGAGGTCAAACTTGTGGTCGAGACGGGCCCAGGCCTCAGCGATGGCCGTGGTGTTGCTCAGCATGCACACAGCCCTCTGCACCTTGGCCAAGTCTCCTCCAGGAACCACAGTTGGAGGCTGATAGTTGATGCCCACCTTGAAGCCAGTCGGGCACCAGTCCACAAACTGGATGGTACGTTTGGTTTTGATGGCGGCGATGGCTGAGTTAACATCTTTGGGCACCACATCACCACGATACAGCAGACAGCAGGCCATGTATTTACCATGGCGAGGATCACACTTCACCATCTGATTGGCCGGCTCAAAGCAGGCATTGGTGATGTCAGCAACAGACAGTTGCTCATGGTAGGCTTTCTCTGCGGAGATGACCGGGGCGTAGGTGGCCAGAGGGAAGTGGATACGAGGGTAGGGCACCAAGTTGGTCTGGAACTCTGTAAGGTCAACATTCAGGGCTCCATCAAAGCGAAGAGAAGCCGTGATGGAAGACACAATCTGGCCAATGAGCCTGTTCAGGTTAGTGTAAGTGGGCCTCTCAATGTCCAGGTTCCTGCGACAGATGTCGTAGATGGCCTCATTGTCCACCATGAAGGCACAGTCGGAGTGCTCCAGGGTGGTGTGGGTTGTCAGGATGGAGTTGTAAGGCTCCACTACAGCTGTGGAAACCTGGGGGGCTGGGTAGACAGCAAATTCAAGTTTTGATTTCTTTCCGTAATCGACAGAGAGTCTCTCCATCAACAGAGAGGTGAAACCCGAGCCGGTTCCCCCACCAAAGGAGTGGAAGATGAGAAATCCCTGCAGGCCAGTGCACTGGTCGGCCTGAAAAGAAAGAGATTATTTATATAAGTCACAGTCTGGACAGCTCTTGCAAAACTAGATTACATTTTTTTTTTAATTGAACAAATATTAGAGTGCTATGCAGTGTAGGGATATAAATCTTGTTCAGTGAAAACACAAGCCTATACTGCAAATCTTTACAAGACCACTTCTCAAAAGTCTCACCAGTTTGCGAGTCCTGTCCAGAACCAGATCAATAATCTCCTTGCCGATGGTGTAGTGTCCTCGGGCGTAGTTGTTGGCCGCATCCTCCTTTCCTGTAATCAGCTGTTCAGGGTGGAACAGCTGCCTGTAGGTTCCTGTACGCACTTCATCTATAAAAAGAACAATTGAAAAAGAGTTAGAGCAAATGTCCATGAGGTATACATGGACAGTAAAACACTGTCTTTAATTCTGTTATTAAATGTCTAAAATGGGTTCATGGGTTGGGGATTTCAGTGTAGTGTAAAGTTTAAAACAGCATATTGATTATAGTAATGAAAGATATGTTTAAGATTATTGTTATGCACACACTGTACACACATTACTGACCAATAACAGTGGGTTCCAGGTCGACAAAGATGGCTCTGGGAACGTGCTTTCCTGCCCCTGTCTCACTGAAGAAGGTGTTGAAAGAATCATCTCCTCCTCCAATTGTCTTGTCACTGGGCATCTGTCCGTCCGGCTGGATCCCATGTTCCAGACAGTACAGCTCCCAGCAGGCATTTCCCATCTGGGCCCCGGCTTGGCCGACATGCATTGAAATACACTCACGCTAAATAAAAGAGAAGAGAGACGGTGGTTAAGGAGGTGGAAAATACTCCCATCAGAGTTGGTTAGTACAAATTACGTTGAAGTAGCCTACAAACAAAATCATTATTAGTTCTTTGGTCCCTTTTTTTTACTATTCAAAGGAAAATGGAAAATTGTCATTTATTATCTGGTGTCCATGTTCTTTCTTGGGACTTCCTGTCCACCAACAGTCTTTGGTTTGGCACACATTTTGGAGAGGAAATAGCTCAGCTGGCAAAGAAACGCCCTCCAAAGTAGAACGTTAAAGCTTCAGCTGCTCATAGTGCGTATGTTTGGGCGAGCCAATATTGAAATGGAAGCTTTTTAAAAGTCCAGAGCTGCAAAGGTGGGCAGGAAATGTCTATAGATCGATATATAAACTAAGACACTGTGAAGTAGACAGGAAGGCCATGGTTTGAGTTTATTGGAAAGCCTTCCCCCTGTCCTCCATCCTGTATCTCCACCCTTTCCCATCATCTCCTCCCCCTCTCTGTCTCTCTCCTCCCCCATCCTGTCCAGCTGCATAGTGCTGCGCAACAGTCAGGGATCTCTCTCTCTCTCTCTCTCTCTCTCTCTCTCTCTGTGTCTACCCCTCCCTGCACACATCCCTCTCAACCCAAAAACTCCTAACAGCTGCAAAATGGCTGCCAACAAACTCATATGTCCCAGGCCAGACCACTCCTCTTTTCTCTTTTCCTTCTGTCCATCCCCCACTGCCACGGTTTCCCTGACCACTCTTTCTTAGTCTGCATAACTCTAAATCCTCTATACACACAGATAAGATTCTATTTCCTCTTTAGTTACATATCTTTCCACCTTAATGGCATGTTGTGGTTCATCAAAACAAGTCTTAAGTGATAAAGCAGACAAACTCATAAAGTGTCTGTCATCTGACCTAGATTGTCCAAGAGAATGAAAATGACTTGTAAGATCTTGTAGCCATGTAATACCTTGTATTCCCCTCTCTAAGTTCTAAACAAACATGACCTTAAAAAGGTTTAACTTCAAAACATAACCTTTCACTATTGTCACATAATAGTATGAATCTTCTTTTTCTATCAGCACAATCAAATCCAGAGCAGAGGCCTTATAAGCATTAAATAGGCCCTGTCTGTTTAATCTGTATAAACAGAGACAAAGGGAGGCTGTAGGGAGAGACAGAGAGAGAGGAAATTTCCAGACTACGTCATCAGGGGAGCAGTTACTCACCATTTTGTCTGCTGGTCCTTCGACTGACGTTGAGGATTCAGATACAAGGCAGAAGTGCGGAGGAGAGGGAGAGTCAGGGTTTATATAGGCAAGGATGTGGAGGGGGCAGGCAGGAAACCACAGCAAGCAGCTGCATTGCTCATTGGGCAGGAGGGAGCAGCACTTAAAAAAAAAAAAAAAAAGGGAAAAAGGGAAGTCCCTTGTCTGTCACATAATCCACCCTTACATTGATTTGCTTTGTCCTTCCGCTAGAAATGTGAAGCTTAGGTTAACCCTGTTTCATTTTCTCTATGATCATTTCCCCATTTTTCTCACTGTGTGTTTTTGTGCTACAGTTTTACTTTGGTTATATTCCCAAGGAGTTTATTTACATACAAAGCAGTCATGTCCAATAATTGCAAGTCATTCCTGAGGACTTCTCATTACATAAAGGGTTTTTATAGTTTTATAACATTTAACAAGGAATGTGGGCTGAAGTGTTTTGCCCATTTTATGCATTTATCTGCACTCACACATTCATCACCACACATGTACATAAT